TCTGGATACTATCACAGTAGTCCACCCCCCACTCCTTATCTACGGGGACACATTCCAAGAGCCACGATGGATACTGAAACCGCAGATAGCACCGACTCCGATATAGAGTATGTTTTTCCCTATACATACATACCTATGGTAAAGTTTAATTTATAAATTAGGCACAGTAAAAGATTAACAACAACTAATAAAGAAATACAACAATTATAACAATATACCGTAATAAAAGTTATGTGGGGCTTCCCTGGTGGCGCAGTGGTTAAGAGTCCGCCTGCCGATGCAAGGGACACGGGTCCGTGCCCCGGTCAGGGAAGATCCCACATGCCGCGGAGTGGCTGGGCCCGTGAGCCATGGCCGCTGAGCCTGCGCATCCGGAGCCTGTGCTCCGCAACGGGAGAGGCCACAACAGTGAGAGGCCCGCGTACAGCAATAAAAAATTAAAAAATAAAAGTTATGTGAATGTTGTCTCTCTCACACACACACACAATATCTTATTGTACAAATTCAATGCCGTTTTCATCTTAATTAAGCACTTACCACACACTGCAGCCATAACTTTTGCAGTTCAAGGTGCCACAACAAAACGGACAGAGATTTATTTTTCCTTCTTCACAATTTCACGGATAGAAAATTCAGGTTCGTCCGTACAGTACATCTGGGCAACCTCGGACTACGAATTTTTTTTCTGGCACCCTATCGCTTAGAGGAAGCACTGCAAGGATATGCCTTGTCATGTCCGATTGGCCGGAAGCACTACTCGCGCGTTGGAGCCACTATTAAGCGAATTAAAGGGGACGCAAACACCAGCACCGCGATACCTCAAACCTCAAACTCGCGAGAGCGACGATCTGATAAGCGGGAAGGCAGCTCAGTGCCTCACGGGGGAAACGCTGGACGCGAAGATGCCGGCCCGGAGCACGGCAGCGAGACTTCCTCACACTACCTCAGAAAGGTGAGTCATTTAAATCTCATGGATTATTTCTGGAATTTTCCCTTCAACATTTTCGGACGGTGGTTGACTGCAGGTAACTGAAACCGCGGAAAGCAAAACCCTGGAGAAGGGGGAACTACTGTACAAATATTTCTTCCAAAACTGCCCTGATTTCTCTGACTGGATATGATAAATGATATAACACCTGCAAAATTCTCTAGTTTATTGCCCGCCATATAACAGGAAGACAAAAATGTTTGATGAAATTCTGAATCCTAATAGAATATTTCTTATCTCTTTTTATGGTACTTGATAAAAAGTTGTTGGCATTATAATTATTAATCTTGTACTTTTACTGGATTATAAGCTTTTAGAAGACAAGTATTGTGGGGCAGGGGTTTGTACATGGAGTAGCTGTTGAAAAATACTTTAAAATTCAGTTTAATTGAAACACTTGCTTCATTCAGACCTATGCTTAAACTGACGCCGTCTTTCTGTCTGATTACAGAGGTTGGAAAATTTAAGTACTGGTTTTGAATGTGACCCGATGTGGCCGTGTGGTAGTTTTCTATGGCTGTATTACCTCTAAGACATAAAGTTGCTCTTCTTCTGGGGGAAGAATTTTAGTTCCTCAGTGTAGGGACCCCTCTTTTCAGCGGAGAGTCCAGGTGTTGCAGGGGCAGGTGGCTCATCAATGCAAGAGTGGGCCAGTGACCTTAGGCCTGGTCACGCAGGGTGAGGCAGTGATTGGTTCAGTATGGTTACGTGACCCACTTCAGTCCAATCAGATCTCAATCTGAGGTACCTTTGCTGTGGTGATGGGGGAAAGGCATTCTTTTGTACAAAGTTTGCTGAAAGGGTCAGAGGTAAACCTGAAGCCTTCTGGTCAACTTAGTGTGAGCTTCTACCAGAGACTGTTTATAGTGGAGTGAAAAAAAAGAGCTAAGGGATGAAGAAAATGATCTTGCTAAATCTGTGTGAGCTGCTGGATCCAGCCTGACTTTTCTTTCCTTGGATTTTCAGTTATACAAATCAGTGCCTCTCTCTATTGTCTAGGCTAACTTTAGCTTATTTTCTGTCATTTGCAAGCAAAGGAGTTTTGTCTACCGTAAGCTAAAATTTAGAATACTTATAAGTATATTTTATAGTTTAGTTATATAACATTTATCTTGCAGTACAAAAAATATGGTACCCAAAGTGCTAAATTCAGGATATTAAATGATTTTTAAAATACATATGTAAAACTTTTGATTATGTTAGATAGTTTCTAAGTGTATGGGAATACCAAAATAGTCTGAAGATGTGCAGTTAATTTTCATCCACTACAAGAAAGATGTATATTTCTTAAGGAATATCTTAGAGAAATGGACACATCTCTGTGATGGACCCTTCACATAAAACATACTCAGAAATTTTGTTTAAATGCCATAGACAAGACGAATCGTTAACAAAACACTCTTTCTCCCCCAAAATATTTTCCCCAAACTGTTTGTAATGGCATCAGTCTCCTCACTTGAGACTGAGGTCCTCAACAGTTAGCCGTTCCCTTGGATCCTGTCTGCTGAGAGAAGTTATTAAAATTCTACTGGGAGGAGGAAGGGAGGCCTGAATTACAGGTTACAAGAAACAAAGCTCTGGAGCCCTCTCTTGTGAGCATGGATTATTTTTATCAGATGCCCTAACTTCTGGAAAATAGGATGAGTACATTTTAAGAACAATGGGAGTGTGATGGAAGGAAAAGTGTAGGGTGTATTTCTCTAGGACCAAGGCTGGCAGACCTTAAGTCGGGGACAGAGTAGCCCACTCTGGGACAGAACACTTAAAAATAACAAGAGAAGGAATATCAAGGGGGGGAATGTCTCCTTTCTGAATTTTGCTGAATCCTGGCCCCAAGTGGAAAAGCATTTTTTTTTTTTTTTTTTTTGCGGTACGCGGGCCTCTCACTGTTGTGGCCTCTCCCGTTGCGGAGCACAGGCTCCGGATGCGCAGGCTCAGCAGCCATGGCTCACGGGCCCAGCCGCTCCGCGGCATGTGGGATCTTCCCGGACCAGGGGAACGAACCCGTGTCCCCTGCATCGGCAGGCGGACTCTCAACCACTGCGTCACCAGGGAAGCCACCTATTTTTTTTTTTAAAGACTTTCCAAATGAGATTCTCTGCATTGTTTTTATTTCATCAAAATTTGTTTCTTATTCGCTTAAAATACATAAAGATATAGTAACCTACCTATAATAACTCATTTGTAATTTACCCTCTTAAGATTTGGTTTTTACATCCCAGAGATAATGCATTAGTAGTTTTTACAAACAATTCTGAGAGCATCTTAGGTTACATGAATATCATCTCTACTTATTTCTCTTTATAAATCCATATTATGTTTAATTACTTCTTAATTTTATACATACTCCATAAAATATTTGTCTTTTAATTTAACAGTTTCTGCAGGAAACAATCATTTTACAAAGATTTGGCTTATAAAAATATTAAATTATTTAAAAAACTGTAGTGGACTTTTTTCAGTACCAAAGGCTTATGTGGATATTCATTGTTGCTAATATGTAAGTACTACATATGTTTATTCATGTGATGTTCTTTTATAATAAAATGAAATAAAGTAATAACATATAAACCAAAACTATCTGAATTATTAAGCTTCTGTAGATGCAGAGGTTCAGAACCACAGTATTGAAGACAGATTTAAATAATGCTTTCCATTGTGAGAAAATGCAGCAAATTGAAAAGCTAATCAGAATATCAAAGCAAATACATATTACCAAGGCTCTCTTACACTCTAACAATAAAAAATGTATTAAACATCAAGTCCTAATCTCTGTTTTTTCATGATCATTTGAATAGCCAACAAGTAGCTAGCTTCAGTATTGACAATTGAAGAGGTCTTAAAATGGAGTGTACTAGTATAACTAATAATTTCCTACCAAATTGACCACATCAAAAAACATTTATATGAGTGTTTCAATAGAAGACAATAAAAGAAAAGAAAATTGTTGCCACTTATCAATCCTGTAACCATTTTTTAATAATACAAAAAAATAGGTGTTGTGGGGCCCTCATGTCCCCCATCCAACAGCACAATAAAAATAATATTACGGAAGGGTGGATCGTATCTGGAGCTTTTATTAAAATTCCTTGAAAAATCTACAGTCAGATTTATTTTAGGTATTTGTCTCTGAGATGAGCAATACTTTTATATTTTTTGTACATATGTTACAGCACACAAAGACATTCTATAAAAGCAAGAATTCACTATACAAGAAAAGTTCTTGTCAGTTAATGATTAACAAATCCTTTTAATTTCTGAGGTTATTGTTTTAGAAATCTCAAAGAAGGAAAATTATATAATTACCTAAATAACAGAAGTATATTTCTAATTTGCCTCTTTTCCCAGAAGTAACCCCCTGTGAAGTCATCTGTGACTTCTCCTTTAAACGTACAGTTTTGCTTATGAAATAGAAACTTGCCCTCATTTCACACTATATCTTAAATAAAATTTAGGAAAAAAATCAGATGTCATGATAGAGAAATTTCTTTGGCATTTTGAAAATTTCCTGCTTTTTAATAGCTATTTAATAAGCTGTAAATTTAATAAACTACACCTTTTAAGGGTTTCTAATGCTAACTTTACTACAACACTTTACAGTGGGTATCTTTCACACTGCATGCAATTCAGATGTTATTTCTAATTGTTACAAAATGCCTTTTTCTCTTTATTATCTGGATCATGAAGAGTGCATATTTTTATAAAGCAGTCAGTTAAAGATACAAAGTCCCAATTTTTAAAAGTACTTTCAAACTAAAACTATACCTTATTCTGTTTTTAATGTTTTCATATGAAATCTTAGTATACGATCTTTTAAAGTACTTTAGAATTTAACTGTTGCAAATTTAAAAACAATATTCTTCTCTACACCAAAGGAAACAAACTGATGTTTCAATCACAAATGAAAACATCACAATTTTGTAGGAAACGTTTATACATTCCCACTGAAGCATAGGATACTCTGTCAAATATTTTCAAGGTTAAATTGCACGTTCAGTATGAGCTCACTTACCTTTCCTCAGTGCTGACTTGTTACTGAAACTGCCATCAACTTCTGTTAATGACTCTTTTAGCAAAAACGGAAAACAGTAAAGTCAAGTCACATGTCGTAAAAGTAGGCCTAGGTTGGATGCTGCTTAATTTCAGTACTGGAGGAAAAAAAAAGGCGGGGTGGGGTGGGGTGGGGTGGGTGTGGAGTGAGCACAAAAACTTTTAAATAAACCACTTCCTGCGTAGATACGGTTAACCACACACATCACATCATTACTCGATTTGAAAAACTTGCCTTCTATAGTCAACGAGATTGTTATTTTTCAGTGTGATTTTCAGTTTTCAGACACTGCACATTTGTAAAGGTTTCATCAATTCTGATTTAATGGGGCAAAATGTATGGTTAAAAATTTAGCAGGGAGAGGGGCAGCCTGCTAAGCACCGGGGACACTTCCTCTTTCTCTGCCTTCTAGCAAGGGCTTTAAGCCTAAAGCCTGCTCTCCTCAGTCAGCTAGAGCATGTCCATATGCCTTCAGGAGGCTTTGCTTATTGGCTTGGGAAGCCAAGAGACCATCTCCATTCACAGAGCTGGTGCTTTTAACTCACAGAGGGCCCCACAAAGAGGTGCTCCATTACTAAGTTCATGAGGCTTTGGACAGCTTGCATTAGAACTTCAGAGAACACAGCCCAGGGCCCCGCTGCCACGTGGGGGAATGGAATGTGCTCATCCAGCACATACTGTGACATTTGCTCTAGGTGGCTCTCACACTTGTGTGTCCTCTCTCGCAGTTGCCTAAGGAGTTCTGATATGTGCTGAAGAGCTTTTGCTGTGGCTAAATGATTCTCTGTGTGGCCTGACTTAAGAAGGAAAATAAAGGCTCCAAGGGGTGTCATTTTTGGCATGCTGCGCTGTGCCCTTCTGTGTCAAACTTCCACCCGTCCAAGACACGTTTGGGGTGGGGTGGGGACTCAAAATAGCCGTAGGGTGTGCCTCTCTACTGAGCTATGGGCTCCAAGAAGTGAGCTCCTGGGCGTGCAAGCCTGGCTGGTTTTGTGAGACTGCAGGAGATTCACAAAAGGAAAATCTTCCCTTCCAAATATGTGAGAAAGTTAAATCACAATCTCTTGTCATACAAACCCATCAGACTAGAAATCTATGTAGTAGTTCTCAGTGGTGTGGAATGTTTTGGCACACATAAAGAAAAACTTTAAAAATATATGTGGTGTATATGGCCCAAGATATGCATGGCATGTCCCTGCAAATTAATCTAATTTCTCTAGGACTCTTCTTTCTAAAATCATATTTCAGATTCACCCTAGAACTCGCTGTCAATTGTCATTCCAGCATACACCTTTTTAAGTTTTTAGAGCCCTGAAGGTTTGTACTCAATGTTCCTCCTTAACATTGAAGAGAAAATAGAAAGGACATGATAATGAAAGTGAGGAAACCAGATTTCAGGCTTCAGTTCTGACACTACTGTTTATTTAACCTTGGCCAAGTTGCTTAGGTTCTCTGAAATTAAGGTTATTTATCTATATAATGGAAACATACATATAAAAAATATCCATCTACCAGAATAAAATTGTTGGTTGGTACACTCAGCAGCTCCCCCAGTGAAATCTGAAACTGGCCCCCATATGATGAGGGCAAGAAGAGACCAAAGAAAGAGGCAGACCACTCCAGATTGGTAGGTGGCAGGTTTAATAAGCAAAGGAACTTACCTACAAAGATTGTCTTGGGTGGCCGCAAGACAAGTAAATCTTTGCGCCTGCCCACCAGAATCTTAAGTTTAGATAGAGGACTTAACTGGGTTCAGTCATGCATACAGTCCAGACCATCTCAATAACACGTTGCTCCCTCAAGGCTGCGTCCTTGAAAATGGCTTCTGCTGTGGGAATGGTGGGCAGAACATACATTCCAGGGTCAGGGTAGGAGGTGAGGAGCCTCCGATTGCCTGGGTCCAGTTTGCAGCTCAACTGGAGGTCACATTCTCCCAATTACCTCCTCCAACAAAAATAAGTAAATAGATTTAAATATGTTGTAAATAATGAAGAATTGCAGACTTATACATGAGCATGAGCTAGGAAATGATGATGCCTCCCAAGAAACATCAGATAAATTTAGTACATCCTACTCGATTTAAGCCTTTGTAAGTCCAAGTCAGGCTCATAAATCTAGAACAAGGGAAATAGGCTTTTCCTTTTACATAGGTACTGATAACAGATACTGGAATAGAAAAAATATAAAACACCAATGTACCCTTATGGGAAATAAATAAACACAAACACCTACTTGAAGGTATAAATTTTCAGTGTTTATTTTTGATCATGAACAAGTAGACATTAAATAAAGACAAAGCACATTTTCTTTGTACAAGATGGGAGGGGAGCAACTCAGGCAGTGATATACCTGGGTTTGGTGGCTAGAGGAAATGTATTTACCATGATTACGATTAAGGATCTAGCTTAGGCTTTGACACTTGCCACTCAATATGTATCTAATATTTATTGAATACTTGCTATAAGCCAAGAATTGTACCAATCCCTTTACATTTTTTCTTTCGTTTAATCCTTCCAACAACCTTATGAGCTAACCAATGTCATTATACTTTCTTTTTTTCTTTCTTATGAGGAAACTGAGATTATATAATTGCCCATTTTAGTAAGGAGTAGAGCCAGGAGTCCAGCCAAGGGCCCTGATCCCACAGTGATTGTTCTAAATCACTATGCTATCTCCTAACCATGTTCTATTCAGCATAACTCAAAGTAAGTAATGCCGAGGACAAGTTTCACCCCTGGTGTTTCTTTTTGCTTCTTCACTGACAGGAATGATAGACTTAGCATTAGACTCATACTAAAATCAAATCTCCCCAAAGTTCTCTACGTTTAAATTTATATTGAAGAGATTAAAAGAATTGATAAATGGAAATACACTATGTGCATAGATAAGAAAAGTAACAGTGAAAATGTGTCAGTTTGTCCAAGTCAATCAACAAATAGATTCAATAAAATCTCAATATATTGCAGATGAATTTTTAAGGAACACAACAGGCTATTCCAGGAATTTCCATAGAAGAACAAATGTCCCAAAGTACCTAAGTTTATTTTGAAACAGAACAGCAAAGACTGATGACTTACTAGTCAGATATTAACATAGTCCAGGCCACAGTATTAAAAAAACATTAGAGTACTGGTCCAATAGCAGACCATATTTATTTGAGAACTTGATATATGACAAAGATGGCATCATACGGTAAACAAAAAGGAACAGATTGATTAGTAGATGATTCTGGCAAGACACACTCACTCAATCAAAGAAAATAGAGTTGGGCCCCTACATTAGACCACAAGCAAAGATGGACCCTAGATGGAGTAAATCTACATTTGAAAAGTAAATCCTTTTGCTGATACAAAATATAAAGAAATATATTTTTGCAAAATGCAACTTTCATAAATGGTATCCCTAAATTAAAAGGAAAAGAACAAAAATATATGGACTTAACAAGAGCAAAAATATATGGACTTAACTATACAATAATTAAAGAATTCTGTTAATTATAAAACAAAGTTACAGAAAAATAACAGACTAGTAGAACATACATAGATTCACAAAAGATTTGTGTAAGTCAGTAGGAAACTTAAGTGGGAAATAAGAAAGTAATTTGAATAAACAATTCATGAAAAGGACTGAACTAGTATCCATCAGTAAGTAAAGAGATGTACACCTCCCCAGTAGTCACTGTAAAAACAAGTTAAATTAGCTCCTATTGAAATGGCAAAAATCTGGATGAGAATTTATAGAGAGGAACTGTCATATATTGATGGTGGAACTATAAACTGAAGCCATTCTGACAAGCAATCTGGCAAAAAAAAATATAGCAAAATAAAATATATTCATGCACTATGTTCCAGCAACCCAATTCTGTTATAAATATAGGTTCAGATAAATCCCTCACAAAGCCTTGTTTTCCCTCCTTTATCACAACTAGTTAACTGATTTAGGTCTTGGTTCTTGTGTCTCAGGTAATATTAACTAGTATTGTGTCTGTGTGTTTGTGTATGATTAGGGAAAACAAAAACAGAAGTTTATAGGCCCTCTGAGCAGATGTTATGAGTTAGACACTAAAGGAGAGTAGAAAAGAGAAGAAAGGCTTGACTTAGATTGGGAAAGATTTCAATTTCCTGTGATAGGAATGAGAGAGAGAGATGGGTTTCCCTTACTGGAGGAGAGCTTGCTCCACTCCCAAGAAGCTGCCCCTTATTGGCAAACACTTTAATCTGGAGGCAACGTCTGTTCATCTCTTGAACACTTACTGTGTACCAGGCAATATAGCAAGCTTTAGATATACTGAATATTAGTTAGAAAAAAGATAAATTAAAATAATTTATTGATAAGGAAAGAAATACAAAAGCAGTGAAGTGGCACATAAAATGTTCAGAAGGTATAAGACTTGAGGTCAGATGAGAAGAGAGGTCTTACCAAGGAAAGTAAATATTTAAAGAAAGTGAGGGATCTAGCCATGTGGATTTAGAGGTGGGAGGTGGGTATTCCATGGAGAGGAAATAGAAGTGCAGGAACTCTGGATGAAGATTGTGTCTGGGATCATTGAAAAGCTGCATGGGGGTCAGTGTGACTATAGATGAGTGAGAGAGAGGAGTATAGGGTATAGTATCAGAGAAGTAATAAGGCCTAGACCACGTGGACTCTCCTGCTCTTTTTGAAAAATCTGAGTGAGAAGGGGAAACATTAAAATAATTTGACTCACAATTTTACAAGAGCATTCTGTCTGTTGTATGAAGGATTGACCAAAAGAATGGGAATAGAACCCAGGACACCAATTAGTAAGCTACTGCAATAATCCATGGCAGAGATGATTGGGACTTGGACCAAAGTGATGGTAGCAAGTGTAAGGGAGAAATGATCAAATTCTGTATGTGTTCTGAAAATGGATCCAACAACCATTTCCTTTTGAGCAACCTGAACAGCTGAAGAATGGAGTTGCTATTAACCGAGACAAAAAAGACTTCAGAAGAGCTGGTACATTGGGGCATGTTGGTTTGTAGTACATGATAACTTTGAGATGCTTATTTGTCATCTCAGTGG